GAAGCGGCCAGCGGATTGGGATTGGGATGCGCCGGAGCGCCGGCCCCGGCGCCGCCCGCGCCTGGACTACGTTTGGGTGGAACCAAAGTCCGAGCCAGTGGCATCAGCCGACCGAGCTGATAGAAGCGGCATGTCGCAGATGCAACTAGAACTCTTGGAGCGACTGGAGGAGGAGGCGGGCCGGCCGCTGGAGCCAAGGTTGGCACTGGCCTCCGCCTTCGACTCTCTGCGACTCACTGCGCTGGTGGGGGCCTTGAGGAGATCCTGCGCTCCCTTGACGTTGCGCGAAGCGCTGGCCTGTGACACCGTGGCGGATTTTATTCGCCTGCTGGCGGATGCAAAGACGAGCACTTGCGACGACAACGCAAGGTCCACATCACAAATCGCAGAGCCGCAAGTGTTCAGAGTCAGGGAGTGGCCTTACATGTTTTCACTATCTGTGTGCTGGGCTTTGGAAACCCATGATCATGTGGACATGGCGGCACTACAACGGGCCTTGCGGTGCTTGGTCATGAAGCACGGGGCTTTGACCATGCAGCTAGCAGATCCTCCGGCCTCATGGGATTTTGCAATGGAAGCTGCGTCCAACTTGTCACTGGCTCGTTCCCTGTTGCGGAGGCACTTTGGAGTAATTGGAGCGAATGCGCGCAGGCACCCAGCGCTCAAGGTGCTGGACTTCGTGGGCTGGCTTCTATGGGTTGCTTGGCCGCAGCTGCGGCCAGAGCAAGCCGAAGAAGTCCCCCTTGATGTCATTTCTTGTGAGAACCAGGAACAACTTGAGTGGAGGTCTGCTTGGCTCTTGGATGGCAGAAACGCGAGAAGCTTTCTGGTCCATCCTATACACGCAGTTCTCCTGACGGACACCGGCAGGACAATAAGTCGCCTTCATTTGGCCGTTAGCCATGGTCTTGCCGATGGGTTTTCCGGGTTGCCCCTCCTGCAGGACTTTCTGCGCTTTTACCAAGAGGAGCTGAAACCAGAGAAGTCAGCGGACAGATTTTCGGGGCTTGTGACGCAGGAGGCCAGATTGCAGCGAGCGCTGGCGCCTGATTGCAAGGAGCTTGATGTTGCGGACATCTCCAGCTGGGCCTTGCCAGGCACAACTGTGGAGGGCTTTGACCATTTTGTTTGGTTGCAGCCGCCGTCCATGAAGACCCTTCAGTCAATTGTCGAGCAGCGATGCTGGTGCTGCTCTCTGGATGTGGCGCTGTTGGCTGTACTGGGATGCGCCTTGTGGCGGCTGCATCCAGAGACCGGGCTTCATTTGCGTTTTGTGGCGTCGGCCAGAGATCAAGGCAAGAGTTCCAATTTGTGTTGCTCAATGCCCAAGGATTCGCCTGGAAAAACAAGAACTCCATTCTTTGGGGGGCAAAGCATGGGCCCCTGAAGGTGATGAGGGCAGCATCATTGCAGACTTGGCCGATGCGCGTGATCTCGACTTCGCGTTTGACGATCAAACCACCGTGGAAGAGGCAGCTCGCTCCATTGCCCACTGCGTGCGCCACCGGCGCTGGGTGGTGCCCGATCCCCTGGTAGGAAGTGAAGGTGGGCATGGGCAAAACTCTTTCCAACTCCCCAAGCGAATTCTTCACTTCCAAACTATCGCCGTTTCCACTGGAAACCAGAAAAGCAATGTGCCCATGTGAGGTCGGGTGTACATCAACGTCCGGCCGCTGCTGGACCTGCGAGGGAGAGAGCCGGAGGGGTCGGAGGGGTGGCGGCACATCACGCAGTGGCCTCCTGTGAAGGGCGAGCGGAACTGGGACCGGCGGAATGTGTACCATGCGCTGTGGATCATGGCCGACCAGGTGTCATCCTTGGAGTGGGTGCTTTGTTTGAAGGTGCGGAAAGACAAGCCGGAAGATGCGAAGCTGGGCCCTTTGCTGCAAGAGGTCCTGGATGACATGGTTCTCAGACCCAACTGCGCATTGCAAAAGAATGACTTGTTGCGGCTTGCGTTCAGTCACCCGTGCTCTTCGAACGTTTGGGAGGTATCTCGGAGTTCTTCTGCAGCCAGAGCAAGCAATCTCAAATAAAACATTCCAACCTGTTGGGGGTACCTCTCATCACTCTATATCACTCTTAAAATTGCCATGAAGCTTAATTGCAGCCTGGTTAATTGATAGGAGGCTGCAACCAAACTCCCGTGCAGGAACCTCATTGAAAGAGAGACCGCCTACTAGTCAAACAGAGCCGTTCGCTTAAGACTGAGCTTGACTATCAATGCTTTGTGAAGCAAGACTCAGCACAAAAGTCGCACATGCAACCTTCAGAAAACACAGGCAGCGCCAAGCAAGTGATGCCCATGCTAACAGTGAGAGCTAAATCAACGGCACCCTGATCAACTTGTCCTGGATGAGTATTTGAGCAGGCAGTTGCAGCGACTGTCACTCTTCGGCAGGAGGACAATCCACAAGTTCACAAGCCCAGCTTGTAGCCGAATGTGCATATCAAGGAGAAGCGCCACAAGTGACTTTAGTGCTAGTTGGTGGTTCCCCGCTATGAACGAAGGACTGAGTCATGGCCAGGGGCTGATTGAGCGCAGTTGCATGCGCTGATGGCCCGATGACAACTTCACCTTGCGGTGCCGCAGGCGAGGGTGGCCCATGACCTCATGAGCACAGGAACCTGGATGTATCTTTGGTAGATATGCATATTACTTGCCTATCCTGTATCATATATATGTCTGTATATATTGTGTACCTCTCTCTCTCTCTATATATATATATATATGGTACCCCCCCCCCATGGACCCTGGTTTGGTGCGGTTGACCTGTATTTTCCAGTGTTTTATGCTTCTTTTTGCTTCTTGGATTTGTGTCAAAATTGGGGGGGGGGGTCATACATGTATATGATACGCATGCATGCAAACAGATGTGATACAAGCAATGACATCAGCACCTGCAATCTGAAAGAGTTTGAATGCATCCAAGAATACAAGAACAACTCAGACATGTTTGATATTTTTTTTAAAATATATATATATGGTATTCAAGATTCAAGATTCAAGAATGTGAGAACATATTTTCTGGGAATCTTTAATCTTGAATCCCAGATTTTTAAAAGTTTTTAACAAATTCTAGATTCAATATTCAAGAATCTGAGAAACTATTTTCTGGGAATATTGAATCTTGAATCTTGAATCCCAAAATTTATATAAAAAGTTTTAACAATTCCAGGGTTGTCCCAATACTCTCGGTGTTCAATAAGATTCTCGGAAAAGTTTTCCGTGAAATATTTCAATCCAGTGGTAACGGATGTTCGAGGTGATAGAACAACTTGAACATTTCAGGGGCTGACCAGGATGGATGATTCTCAGGAAAGTGGTGGTTTGTGGGCTCCTCAATATTGAATCCCCAATCCAGTGGTAAAGCACTTTCAAGCGTTAGAAGAACTTGAATGCTATTTGGGTTTGGCCAGGATTGACAATTCTCAGGAAAGTTTTCTGTGTAATCTTCAATCTTGAATCTTCCATCCGATAGTAGCATAGTTTCAAGTGCTTAGCGCTCCAGTGGACACACTTTCAAGTTATTGGTTAGACAAACTTTCAAGTGCTTTTGGTGAGCTTCATGTCAGCTATGCTCATGTTGACCCCTTTCCAGGAGGTAAACAAAGGCAGGTGTAACGCTCAAAAATACTGTATTTTCAAGTATTTTATGAGGAGGCGCAGGATCATTGGGGGTACTATGTATGTGTGTATGTATGTGTATATATATATATATATACAAAGATATACATATGTATGTACGTTCACACACCGTCCCCAACCCTCTTGAACTACCTGTCCACATTTGCTCATCTACTACCTCCACCTTTTGAGATAGAATTAACTTTCCTGCGCAAATAGAACTTTAAATACAACGGTTTAGCTAGAATCCCTGTTTCGAGATAATTTAGATTTTGAACCTCTCTTCCCTTGAAATTTCCCTTTGGAACACCGTCTAACAAGTTCAATGTCGGACCTTTCTTATGCTACAAAAGGGCCAGAATGTAAATAACACAAATCTTATATTGAATTTCCAAATGTTTAGCCATATTTAATATGAATTATATTTGAGATGTAGTCTCTATTCACTTGATATTATCAAAAGCAAATTGAGTTGTGTTTGTCTTAGATTTTATTTACCATTTGGATTATATTTGGGAAACACTTCTATCTAACTTCTTGTGTTACAGATTAGTTGGAGTTTAGCCGAAAATATATATTTACAATTTCATGTAGCTGCTATTTGGGAAGGATTTGCTTGTTTAAGCTGTAATTGAACATAAACACATTTTTGAAAACTATATCCATACTAAACTATATTCAAAATTCCAATTCTAGTTGAAGTAACATCTTATTTGGAAAGGGTATCATTACTGGGACATTGTGGAGGACTGCGGGCTCCAAATTATCACGCTTTGGGGACCCACAATTGGAAATTTCGAGAATATAAATTTGGAAATTCTAGATTTGCCATCCCCAAAAGGCAGTAAAACCAGGGTCCATGGGGGGGGTTGCATATATATATATATATATATATGTAGCCACACGAATATGTAAGCTCGATTAGGAGTGCTTGCAACGGCTGCCTTGGAATTGTGAGCCTCGTCTGCTTTGCTATTTCAATAGCATTCATACACAAAGGCGTTCATATCCAAATCGCCCAAATCACGTGGACCATCCTCAGCTTCAAGTTGGTGCTTCTGCGCTGATTGTTGTCGCTCCAGGGGAGCCTGTGCATGGCTTGGCCTCGGGCGGCAGAGCTTGTCCGGCATGTTTGCCATGAGGGTAACTTTTTTGATCGATAAATCCTCGATGCATGATTTAACGAGGCCCTGTCCTTACAGCTCAAGCATTGTTGCAATGCACATTACCACCTGTTCAAGTGATGCGGCCGTGCTGTGCTTGAGATTTGCATGCGCGATGACATGACACATATTTGTTGTTGGATGTTGTTGGTGTCTCCCCGAGCGGCATCTACCCAACAGCTCGACAAACCAGGCGTCGAAGGGCTTGCCTGTCAGGTGTTTCAAGACTCTATTTGGTGCAAACTTGTACAACCTGATAGGAATACAACTCTTTCTGGGCGTGATGGCAACATGCTTGCGGGCAAAGAGGTGTGAGTTGTGAAATGGACAAGGTGCAAATTAGCCGAACTTCCACTTGACTGCATCCAGGTAGTTGACTGCATCATTCCAGCGCACGAGAAAGATTATGAGACGCTGAGCAGCTGGCTGAGCACCTTGTAGAGTCCGAGCACGCACACACGCGACTCATGGTTATGTTGGGACGAAGGAAACTATTGCTGCGAGACGCCTTTGGGACACTAGCTGAATAAAGGGCTGCCTCGCATCTCTCAGGCCATGCCGTGAGATCTTTGCGCCAGTTCTGCCCAGAGGTGGTGCCCCCAGCAGAGAGGTGAAGGCGTCAAAAACTAGGGACCTCATCCGCAAGGCTGGGTTTTATCTTGGCTTGCTTTCACAATCGCGGCCCTCACAGCCCTCTTTCAGGAACCATCAGGAAACATTCACTGGCCATTTTTTCCTGCTGCGAAGGGCCAGCATAGCAATCTGTCAGAAGGGTCTCCCACGTGTTGAAGCCTGTATTCACGATCTGCGGTCGAGGCGATAACATAGAGCCCCCGACTCACCAAGCTGCCACTGGCTGGCGTTGAGCTGCCAAATGTGACATGAGGACGCATTCAGTTTGCGGGCAGAGGCAACAGCGCAGTTTCACTCAGGCACATCGCGCGTTGCCCCGACGTTGTAAACAGCACCCTAGAGCAAGCATGGCGGCGGACATGGTGTTCAAAAGAGATGGGCGCGTGCATTGGCATGTTGGTGTTGCGAGAACAGTAAGTAGTCGACAAGATACGTGACGAAGAGGACTCAAAAAGTAGAAGGATCGGACATGCGCGGGGAATCGAACTCACATCACAATTTGCTACATGGACATGGGTCAAAAGCCCGTACCCCCAGTGAACATCGCAATCCCCACTAAAATATAGGTTCTAAAATGGGTGGTGCACCTACCCCAAATGGGATCCCATTGGTTTTGACAACCACAGCCACATCGCTCGAGGTCAGAAGGATCCTGGTCCTCAGCAGCTCACCACCCCTGGCAGAGCCTTGCCGTTATGAGTGGCGCAGTTGCCAAACCTCCAATTGCCAGACAGCCATGCGCCCGATTGAACACCATGCGCCCCATTGAACAGGCATTCATAGAAGATCATGCCCTTACTTGGGCAAAGCCGGGTGTTCGACACTCACTGGGCAACTCAGTGCTGCCATGGTATGAATGTAGCGTTGCAAAGGTATGCTGCATGCCTGTTGCACGCAGTTCAAACGGGTTGGTGGGTGGGTCTTTCTTTCTCTTTTTTGGTTGCGGCTGTTGTCACTGGCATGTGAGAACTGTCTAAGTTCATTTGAGGATTGCGAGGTGGAGTGGCTGGATGAGGCAGTGGATTGCGGCGCTTCTACCCTTTGATTGTTTCTGCTGATATTTGGACAACACAATGGGGGTCGTCACTCGGGGGTCTCCGCAGAAGTCGAGCCATCACAGACACCAAGCTTCATCTTCAGATCGCCTAGGCGGATCCAGTGTGGCCGTTCAGAAGGTCGGATCTCGAGGGATGTGGCTGTGGGCCCGCAACCCAATTCTGCCATGGCGCTGGGGAATATTGGAAGATGCCACAAAGACATCCTGCTCCTGGAAGGGAGATCTCCAGGGTGGAAGAGTCATTCCGACAGTTTTCAAGACCTGATCCCCAAGGTCGGGATGGCTGCTTCAGCAGCTTCTAAAGCAGGGCCCTCGGTCCAACATTGACGACTCTGATGAGTTGAATCAGTATCATGTCTAACCCTGCGAATTGTTGATTCTGCTTGCAGTGGACAGGTTCATGTCCGGTGTAGCAAAGACGATCAACCGTGCAATGCCGTGCTGATAAAGCACCAAGCGAGCTGTCAGACTTGGAGCCCTAAAGTTTACAATCATCATCAATCATCAACTTGCAAGATGTTGCTGCGTGTCAAAACTAGTCGCCCTGAAATGGTGGATTTCCTTTTCGCCTCCGTTCACAATCCAGACCCAGGAACAGCAATACATAATTTGAAACATGTGCCATTTAAATAAGTTGATTGATTTTTGACACGCAAATGTCTGTTTGAATGCCAGTCAGACGACTAGACAACTATCCGATATGGAGTGCAGCAATTTGGGACAGCCAAGCCCAATTTTGAGCGTGGAGGCTATATGCTCCGGTCCTGTTGGAGGGTGAGGAGCTCAGGCAAGGGGACTTTTAGTCAGAGGTGAAACTGTCTGAATGACGTGGAGAGGTTCCTTGATGGTATCCCTGAGCTGACTTGGTCCACTTAGCTGGTTCAACACATGATGTTCAACCTGGCAATTCGGTTATGGACTCTCCCGCTGGACAAAGATTTCAGCTCGAAATTCGGGGCTCAATCGACCGCTGTTTTTTGAGCCAGTCTGCCCTTTACCAACTGGGCGATCGGATTTGCTGAGTTTGATCTACAGCCCAGCCATTTGCAGGATGTCGTTATTGAGCTATATTGAGCTTATCGCGCAGCCAAATAGCACACATCACATGCAGAACAAAATACACGGAAGCAGAGAGCAGGTTGCACGACAGCACATGCTGTAGCACCAGAAGTGCAAGTAGCACGAGAGTACATGCAGAGCAAGAAGCCCAGCGCATACAGAGCAGATAGCAGGAGAGCACATGCAGAGCAAGTAGCACGAGAGGATGTGCAGAGCAAGTAGCGCGAGAGCACAGGTGGAGCGAGCAAAAAGCGCAAGAGCACCTCTAGAGCAAGATGCACAAGAGGATCCGCAGAAAGTAGTGCCGGAGCACGCGCAGAGCAAGTAGCGAGAAGAGTTTGTAGCACGAGAGTACGATGCCGAGCAAGATGCGCAAGATGACGTGCAGAGCAAGTAGCGCGAGAGAACACGCGCAGCAAATTGCGCCTGGAAATTGGCCCGAGAAAGCGCACGCGACATTTTGCGTGAGAAATGTGTACCCTGCGGAGCGGCGTGTTTGATGTGCGCACGCGACCTGTGACAAGCGTGGCCGATGTGCAAAAACCATGTAGGAACTTTTGCTACTTTTTGATTTGCGCGGGCGACCCTCGGCGATGCCGACCCTTTGCGGGGATCAGCCTGCTCGATAGCGACTTTTTTTAGTTTGCGCGCGACCCTCTGCCGGGATCGGCGTGGTAGACGCACGACTTTTCGAGTCCTTTGCGCTGAGAACAACCCCTGCGTTGAGAACAATGCGCGCAAAGACTCGCAGAGAGATTGTTGCCCAGGGGATTTGCGCAAAGACACTTTGCGCGGGGCACTTGCGCAGAGAAACACGTGTCAAGAGCTCGCCAGGGGAACGTCCAGAGATAACGCGTCCGGGAAGAAACGCGCAAAGAGAAGCTTGCACGGACAACTTGCGCGGAGAAACTTGTATCTAGAACTTGCGTAGACAAAGCAGAGGAATCTGAGCCGAGAGCTTGCGTGGAGATCTTGCGCTCAAGATTGTGGTGACTGGGTGCTTGTTTAGGGTGCTGGTCAGGGTGGTGAGGGTGCTGGACAGGGTGCTGGTCGGGGGTGGTGCTGAAGGTGCTGGTGCTGTGTGTGTGTGTGTGCTCAAGCTTGGCGGGCTCAGAGGTCAGGGTGCTGTTTGTTTGCTCAAGGCACTGTGTTGGAGCGGTGCTGGTGCTGGTGCTGTTTGTGCTTTCGGGCGGTTCCCCAGAGCTATACGGGTTAGCTGAAGGCTTTAAGGGGCTCTTACTTCTGAAGAGGAGGCTGTTTGTGCTGGTCAGGGTGCTGTTCGGGGTGCGCTCAAGGTTCTGTGGTGGTTGCTGGCAGTGCCGTTGTGGGTGCTGGTCAGGGAGCTATTTTGGGTGCGTGCTTAAGGTACTGTGGTGCCTACTGGCGGTGCTTGCGTTGCGATGCATGGTGCTGGTCAGGGTGCTGTTTGATGTGAGGGTGCTTTTTGATGTGCTGAAAGTGCCGGGGGCAGTTGCTCGCGGTGCTTGTTTGGCGATGCAGCTGTTTGGCGTGCTCAAGGTGCGGTGGCCTCGTGGTGCTTTTTTGGTGCTGCAGGCAGGGTGTGGTGCGGTGGCGCTGGTGGTTCTTGTTTGGCGGGCAGGCAGGGTGCTGATGCGGGTCAGGTTGCTGCGTGGCGTGCTTAAGATGGTGTGGTGGTTGCTGTCGGTGCTTGTTTGGCGATGCAGCCAGGGTGCTTGTTCGGGTGCTGTTGTAATCTTCTTTGATATCTTTGGGTCAGCGCGGATGCAGGTTTGGCGGATGACGTTCTTGTATGCGACGCGGACGTGGCATCTGGCTAAGTTGTCATTTGGCTGTCTTTGTGCGCGACTCCTCTGGAGAAGAGAGGTGTGGCTGCAGCCCGTGCGATTCTTGCTGCCAAGTGTGCGCCACCCAGGTTCATGGCCATCAGACTTGTTGCGAGCACACTGGCAGAGCAGGGGCCCAGCCCAGGACTCAGGCGCTTACATCAACGTGTTCAACACGCACACCTGCCCACCGATCCGCAGTGCCGTCGACCTGCACCGCCCGCAACTTGGGATTGGGCGAAACACCGCCGCTTTGAGATCTTTGAAGTTCACTGCTGTCGTCGCAACTGGGCAGGTGGCCCAATTGATGAACACCCCATTGATTGATAAGGGTGTGTGTGTGCCTTGTAGCAGGGGGTATGCACTTTCCTTTGGGTGCACTCCCCACAAGATCAACTTGGTTGACTAGTCTCATGTGGTTTGGGTATATGATGAGACAAATAACTTCATTGATGAGTCTCATTTGGTTTTGGGACGAAGCCATTTGATCCGTGTCTTGAGGTTATGATGGCTTCGTCCCAGCGATCCTCCCTGGCTTGCAGAAGCCCAGGTCTCGCGCATTCCGATTCTCCGGTCCCACGGTGCCGCGACGCAGGCCCAAAGAGACCGCCGTGTGTCATCACATGGTCTTGCAGAAGCGCGTTCTGAAGCAGCTGATGGAGGAGGCGCGCGCTTTCTTTTTTTTTGCAACGTCAAGATACGCGGATGGTGCGAAACTGTTTTTTGCACCTTGGAGTATGGCACTGCGCTCAATACGCCAACCAATCAATGCGGTGCAGAGCCTCAAAGAAGGCAGCTTTGGTATTGGCGGGCGGCATTGGCATGTCATTTACCGCGCTTTGCAGCAAGCCGTCTACAGCATGTGTCAGGATTGTTGAAATCAATGATGCCAACAGCTTAGTTTACGTTGCCTTCACTTCCAAGCTCATGAGGCTTGGGATAGTTGTTGGCTTGTGTCCAAGATTTATGTTTAGTGACCACCACAGTATAGTGGCGTGTTGAGATACTGATGCTGTGCAAGATCAAGCCAGGTGGAGCTAGCTTGCGGGAGGAGCTTTTGGCAGGCGTACTGTGAAGCTGCATGGTGCTCAGTCCAACGCTGTGTGCTCGAGCACATGAACACAAACTCGACTCGCAGAAGTGCCGAAGGCCAAAGCAACGGAGGGTCGAGCTTCGGAGTACGAGTTGTACTACGTGTAGGCCTCATGCCGGCCTGCGCCGTTTGCGTGTGAGATTGAGAGCTTGTAGCCAGATCATGTTCACCCTCAAAGACACATGAAGACACAGACTTGGAACGGGAAATGCTATCCTAACAGTTGATGAAAGCGAAAATGAAGTCCCAAAAGTAGAAACAATGACACCTCCCTATTCGCCAACCTGGAGTGCATTAATTATGGCGCATCAAAGCGGTACGTCTATCCAACCGGCTGGCGATATGGGGCTGTGCCCAGGCCTTTGCCATCTCCCGGTGTGTGGAGGCACCTGGGACGCAGATGGCTGCAAGGAATTGAGCCATTGCCAGGTGCAGACAAGGATGCTGAGCTTCGCAGTGGTGGCAGACATGGAGGTGCGCTGTTGCTGCTTTTGTAAATGTTTACCGTGCTTGATGGCGATAGGCCGTGGTCAAAGCAGACCCACCACCCGCATCCTTTGCTGTGGACTGCTGGGCCTGTTAGCGTGTGGGCTTATGAAGCGAGATGAAGCAGGGTTCCCCTTTTTGACGATCCCAGACTCAAACCAAGGGGTGGTTCATTACCCTTTCAAAAGGGGAACCCTCGGGTATACGTCTATCTTGGGGTAGTCCAAAAGTGGAACCCTGAGCCCAATATTTTTTTCTAAGTGCATCCTTCATGCCAGGCTCATTCGCATCTCCGAGCTCTCAGTGCAGAGGCTGAGTCCAAGCTCTGGGAGTAGCGAGGGAGCTTCGCTGCTGCGAGGAGCTTCGCGACCGCGAGGGCATCATCAACGGTGACACCGAGAGGGAGATCCTGCGCCTTGGCACTGCATCCGGAGCGCACCAAGACTAGTTTCTCACTTGGCCATGGCTCATAACCTATGCCTCCAGTTTGGGGCGGATGAAAAATGCACCACCTAGTTTGATGTTCACCAGGGCTACAGGGTTTTGACCCGCAGCCACTCGTCAGAATTCGGGGGGTTGCCCAGGCGCCGTCTCACGGAGGATCAGCCGGCAGAACTCTCGCAGCTTCTACTCGCGAGTGGAATGTTCGGAGCAAAGTAGATTTTTAAATATGCTTGAAGTATTGTCAACAATCCGAATTGCTCACAACCCTCCAGGTTTTTTCCCCAAAATTGACATACTCCCTACGCTACGTAATTTACTGGGGTACGGTGTGGAGTGTAAAAGATGCCTCAGCTAGGCCTTCTATGTCTGAGGACAAGCACCCGCCGGGCTCTGATATATATATATATACATATATATATATACATATATATATATATACATATATATATATATATATATACATATAATAGGAAACAAACTTATAAACCTATTACCACTAGCGGACTATTATTATTTATTATTCTTGTTATATTATTGATTATGTTATTAGTAGTTGATTATTATATGAATTATAATTATTATTCGGTGATTAATAAATATATAAATTAAATAATGATGTTTTTAATGGGAATTAAAATAATTTAATATATTATATATATTATTTGATGTTTATTTTTTGTTTTTGAAATAATATTAATGATTTTTTTATAAATTGGTATGGTTTTGGGGTAGGCGATTGATTACTGGAAATTTCGGTTTTTGAATTTGTTATTTTGATATTTATTTTCTTTGTTTAGGTTATATTGTTTGCTCTTTTGTTTTTTTTTTGCTTCTTTGTCGTCGTTTTTTGTTTGTGTTTGTTTGTGTTTATGTTTTGTGTTTGTTTTTTGTGTTTGTGTATATATTTGTTTGTTTTTGTTTGTTTGATTTTGATGATTTTTTGAATTATATTTTGTTGTTTTTTATTTACTATTATATATATTATTATTTATATATTATTAATTATTATTTATAAATTATTATGTATTTTGTTTTGTTTATTTTTAGTTGTTTTTATTTAGCATTATTTGTTTTGTAAATATTTATCCATAATTAAAAAACACTATTTTCAACAACAAAATAAAGCAAAAATAAGTAAGCAAAGTTAAGCAAAGTTAAGCAAAGTTAAGCAAAGCAAGCAGAGGCAGAAACAAATAGAGGTAAACAGAAGCAAATAGAGATAAATAATAAGAAAAATTAAAAACCAAATAAAAATAAATAAGCAAATAAACAAAAATAGCAAAACAAAAAATAATTAAATAAAAAACAAAAAAAAACAAATCTACAAAACAAACAATTATTATATATTTTTAGTTTTATTAACATTTTCAACGTGAATTACATAAAAACACATTAACATGGTTTTTTGTTTATATAATTTTAGTTTATTTATATAATTAAAAATATGAATTAAAATATTATGATTTTTATAGATATATATATATATATCCATATTTTGTAGGTTTTTGCGAGGATTAGTAAGATTTATGAAAATTCTCATTTTGGTGTTATAGGTTTTAATAGGGTTATGGGGTGGTTCGGTATGGTTAAGGTAAGATTTTATGAATTATATTAGGGTTTAATTAGGGTTTTGCGAGGTTGTGTAAGGGTTGTGGGATGGTAAGGTGTAATTTTAAGGTAAGATGTTGTAAGGTTCTACTAGGATAAGGTTGCGGGGTGTTTGGAATGCATTTTATAAGGATTCCTCTATAATTCTATGAAATTTTACAAGAATTATAAGGTGGTTCGGGACGGCCATAAAAGGTTTTATACAATTTTATAAAGATTTTACAAGGATTTTATAAAATTCTAGAAGATTTTAAAAGGATTTTATAAATAGTTTGTAAAATTCTATAATTTATCATAAAAGAATATAATTTGATAAATTTATAGAAAATCGTTTTATTTATGGACGGAATACTAAACGATGGAACACTAAGCAAAACCGAAATTAATGGTTTTTAGTATACTTTCCTTGTTTTGACTTGTTTACGGGCTTAAATAATATGGTCCGAAATTTTGGATTTATGGTAAATTAAATCAAGGTTATTATTGGATTTAATATATAATAGAGTAAGTGCTTGACATTTGGTATTTTTTAAATACATATTCTATGATATTTCTATTAGGTCTTATAAAATTATTTAATAATCCTAAAGAAAACATCCAAGAATATGGTTTGAATATTATAAGGATTTTATAATATATATTCCTCTATAAATCCGGCGCTATAATAAGTTAAGACCTAAAGCCCGACGGTCTAATCGAGTCTTAAATTAAGCCTATTGATGCAAGCATATCCTATAACACAGCTAAACAATACCATCTTAATATAATCGATCGAACTCGATTATTTTATAGTTATAAAAACAAATAACAATTTATTTAAGTTATTTCTAATTTAAAAAAAAACATATATAACTAATTATGTTTAGTAATATATATATATATATTATTTAATTTTAAATTATTTTATATTTATAAATAATATTGTTTTTTATGGGCGCTAAAGATTATATTCGGCGGGATCTCGACGGGATCCATTAGCGAGTCGCTTTGGCGGGAAATTCGGCGGGATCCAATGGCGAGTTACGCCGGCAGGATGCTCGGCGGGATCCATTAGCGAGCCGTTCTGGCGGAATGCTGGACGGGATCCACTAACGAACAGCTTTGCCGGGATATCCACTGGCGAGCTCCTTTAATAGGATGCTCGGCGGGATCCATTAACGAGCTGCTATAGCGAGATACTGGATAGGGGCGTGGTGCAGAAGCATCGCAAACATGGATTCCAACATAAAATCTAATAACCTCTTCCTATCGGGTGGGAAAAAAAATAATACAATTCTATATCTTTAAAAAAATAATATAAATTAAATTCAAATATATACAATATAAACCTTTTTATATTTAACATATTTATTGTTATTTTTCGCAATTAGTAAACGAACCCCGTTAGCTTTTTTTCCTGAAAGCTTTAGGATCTTAACCCAGATGGGCTCCGAGGTTGTTCGGGGCGGCCCTAAGGTAAGGTTCCAAAAGGGGTCCATCAAGGTTCCACCAGGGTTGGACAAGGTTCTGCAAGGATTGCGGAATGGTGCAAGTACTAAAAAAGCATCGCATGCTATTGGGGGTTTCACCTGAATTTATTATTATTTCATTTAGAATATAAAAAATCCTAATAGCTAAAAGCTAATAAGGAAGGTTCCGAAAGTTCCGGGGTGGTTCGGTGCAGGATATGTATAAGGTTTAAGGAAGATTTTAGAGGTTCCGGGAAGGTTAGGTAAAATGTCTAAGGAAAATTCCGAATATTCATAAATTATATTTAAAACCATTTTTTAAATAATAAAATAATAATAAATTATATTTAATATAAATCAATAAAGAAATAATAACAAAAACCACAAAAACCACAAAAACCACATAATTACACGATTTATTACATGGGTTTTCTTTTTGTTTTATGTAATTTACAATAAATATATGTTTGATGAAAATTATTTGTAAATGAAAATAGATTATTATATATATATATATATATTATATATGTATGTATTATATATATATATATTAATATTGAAAAATATAATGTATATAATCGATATGAATTTAATTATGTATTTTATTCATATATATATTTATAATATATATATATATATAAATGTAAATATTTGTTTTAACTAATTTTTAATATTTTTTTAGTCAATGGAAATTGGTTGAATCTTTATGGATTTTTATTTTGTGGTTGCTCCGGATTATTGTGGGTCTTAATTGAATTAAGTATATTTAGTCGTTGCCGAATTATTGTGTTTGTGGCGAGCGATTATATTTATCTTCTTTTTTTTCTTCTTCATGATATAAGTTCTTGTTTTTTAGGAAAAATCTCCGAAATTTTGGCGGGGTTATATAGATTTTCGCTTCCAATTTTGGTTTTATAATATGGTTAATTTTTTGAATTTTCGGGTCGGTTCCGGAAATTTCGTGTTGTTTTTCTTTTCGTGTTTCCTTCTGTCCTTTGGTTTGTCTCTCTGTTTTTCTTTTTCTTTTTTTTCTTCCTCTACTTAGAAGGCTTTTTTGTTATTGTTATTTTTATTTATTTTTGTTTCTTTTTATTTTTCTTTTTCTTGTTTTCTTTTTCTTTTTTTTGTTTTTCTATTTATATATGTATTTCTTTCTTTGCCTTTTTATTTTTGTGGTATTTAATAAAATAATAAAATATCCAATTATATAATTAAATTATATATTATAATAAAACCATTTTATGTTAATAATAATCTTATTGCCAAAATACCGTTACAAAAAATCAATAATATACAAAAACAATATTTTCGAAACCATACTAATTTATTTATAAAATAATATTAAATATATTCAATATTTAATTATTTAATTTCTATAAATAACCCTATAATATATAAAAACCCAATTAATTTCATTAACGACAATATTAAAAAAGAAAATAAAGAAAAAAAAGAAACATACGAAAGAAAAAGAAAAACAAAAAAAACAAAAAAAAAGAGAAAGAAAAAACAAAGAAAAGGAAAAAAATAAGCTAATAAAAACAAGCAAAAACAAAAAAAAAGATACAAACGAAATTTAAAAGAGACAAATATAATATGTGGCAATTCAAACTTCTCCCATTTTTGTAAACCGACCGGCAAAAATAAATGCAAATAAACAAAAACATAAACAAATATTACCAAATAAACAAAACAAATATATAAAAATAAACCAAAAAAACACAAAAAAATAAAAGTAAACAACAAATACAAATATAAAGAAACAAACAATAACAAACCAAAACAAAAAAACACAAACAAAACAAAATAAAACAACACAAACACCAAAATAAAAACAAATTAATATATACAAAAATCTATAAAAAAAATAAAATACAAAAAAAAAAAACAATATATAAACACCCCAATATATTCTTAAATTTTCTCGAAATTTAGCCCGATATAATTTTCGAAATCAAAATCCAAAAAGAATTATCAAAATTATATCCGAAAATCTAAAAAAAATATCATCCAAAAACGACTAACACCTCCCCCCAAATTTCGGGGTCTTCCAAACCCACAAAAAGCCAAATACTTATACCACCAAACAACAAACCGATACAAATATAATCGTTCGCCTCAAAAACTACAATTCGGTCGGAGTACCGCTACAACAGCTTACCAATACATAAGAAATACAACCTCGAAGCCGTATCGATTTGTAAAAAAAATATATATAATATATATATATACATCAAATTTTATATATCAATATATAACTATTAATAATCAATATTAATACAATATTATCTCCCCCCCCGGATCAAACAACTCTCCTCACTTTCTATAGTTATAATCCTATAGTTAGGTTATAATAGTTTAGGATTAATTTAAGATTAATTTAGGTTTAGAGTTTATTATTCAGGATTTAATTTAGGATATATTTAGGATTAATTTAAAATTAATTTAGAATTCATTTAGGGTTAGTTTATGTTAATTTAAGATTAATTTAGAGTTAATTTAGATTTAGGGTTTATTATTTAAGGTTTAATTTAGGATTAATTTATGTTAATTTAGAGTTAGTTTCGGTTTCGAGATTTATAGTTCAAGGTTTGGTTTAAGGTTTAGTATAGGGTGTATTTAAAGTTAGTTTAGGATTCGCTTATGGTTAGTTATGGATTGGTTTGGGTAGGGGTGTTGGGGCTTAGCGTCTCGGGGGGGTGGTTCTGGGGGAAGACCCATAGTATTTGTGGGGTGGGGGGGCGGGGGGGGGGTAGCAACACGGAACACGTTACCATATATGGATGGAGTTATTTGGTTTACATCTTAGGTTATGGAAATTACTAATTCAATATATACTCTCATATGCAAATATAATTGTTTTCCAAGAGGTATGCAAACTCAATTGGTCATGAAAGAATGTCAGATCTTTCGCCGCTAAAACTTGTCTGGCAACATCCGTGGCTTCCTTAGGAAGGCTTTGAAAGGAACTGCATGGGATCGTTCCCTCATTCATGTAGCCAAGGCAAGTTGTCAAAGCTAATGTCAATTCGACCGCCAATACGCGGCACGATTGGGTTGGTAGGCACCCCGAGGACCTGGCCAAGGATGCGCAGTGTCACTTGCCCATAAGGGAACTTGGGTTTACGGGTCCGTTCCTTGCCTTCTTGTCGTCGCAGCCAACACCCTTGGTCCACCAGACTCCGTCAGGAAAGGCTGGCTGGGCCAACTGTTTCCCGCAGCTGTAAGTGTTGGCTGCGAAGTTGGGGTCCGCCAAGACAGCGGAGCAGTCCTCAAACTGCGATTTTAGATCACTGACCTCTCAAACGCTGGGCTGGCTAGGCGGCAGAGGCTTTGCAGGCATTCAGCCAGGCAACCTTACCAGGCTGATCATCACCACCAAAACCACAGGAAGTGTCCGTGCAAATCCACTCCTCAGCTGCTGAATCACTCGAGTTTCAACCTTTGACAATGCTCGAGCCAGGATTCATCCATAGCCCAGCAGTATGTCTCAGCATGCTCCGCGTAGAGCCACCCGCAGTAGCTTTCGGTGCTGGTGTAGCTCTCGGCATACCATGAGCGGCATCTATGCTGACCTGAGACATGATTTCCGTCGGCTTGACAACAATGATGAAATCTTTGGCCTGAAAACTGTTCCACCGCCTTGCAGTGAACCTTCCGCACCGACTGGAAAAGAGTCCAGGCAGCACAGAGGTTGCCAAGACAAACTTTTTTCGGCACGCCTTCCGCGTTCGTTGCTTTTGCGTTCGTTCATTCCCGCGCTTTTGCTCGCGCGCTTTTGCTCGTTGTGTTGGCCCTGGGCCCTATTTTACCCACACGCCCGTATGTCACTAGCCTGGCCCTCCCGCATCTCTTCCGCCACCCTTTCGCGTCTCTTCCGCGCATACAGTGGGAGGCTCATCACCGGAAATTCCAATACTAAACCGCATACATAAGTGTTCGAACCGACACTTTGCCCATGTCCATCAAAATGAACGTCATAGAAAGCCCTGTGAACGCGTGAATGAAGAACTGACCGACTGCTCCAAACTTCCCAGAGATTCTAGAGGATCGGCTTTTGCTCCCCGCAAACACTGCACTAGTTGCAAGCAATGCCACCACACGGGTTGTCAGCTAGCGAGCCGGGACAGCCAGTGTAGCACGCATCATTGTTGCAGTTGGGGTCATCTGGTGAGAAAGAGGTGCAGGTGCACGCTCCATATCTGTGCCTCGATGCAGTGTACAGCGCAATGCTGGTGCAACATGGTCTCCAACTCTATACAATGGGAACACTTAAAGCATCTCAAAGCATAAGTATAAGCTTGACCCAATCGTCATTGTCGGCAATCAGCCTTTACAAGCTCGAGCTAAGGCGCTTATCAGCCAGCACAGTTTTGAAGCCGACCCCTGGGGCGTCCGTGATGCTCAATCGGGAGCCTGGTGACAACTAACGCCAAGATGAAATGGCGCGGTGCGTACGATCTCACTTGAGCAAAAAAAATGAAAAAAAAACAGTTCAAAACAAACAAGCGAATAGCGCAAGCGCAAAAGCCTGGCCTTTGAACTTGCCAGGCAGGGCAACCACATCCACCACGGTTCCCTCCCCATCGGTGTAGTTCATCGTGATACCTCCTGAGACGCCTTCCACGGAAGTCAGATCCCAAGAGACCACAGTGGTAATTGTGAACTCCACTTGGCTCTGGTACATTGGTCCCATGGCGAGCCTCAGCAGGCTTAGGCCGAAATAACGGTGGCCCGGTGTGTCGGCAAACCATTTATTTCTCTTGCCCAAAAAGCCTAGAAGTGCAATCAAATAACATGTACTTTCGAGTAACTTAGTTGTTTCGTGAAGGGTACTTGCAGACGTTAGTGTCTTGACCTGGTCAACTGTTGCCGGGGCGTTGGTCTGGGCTCTCAAGAAGGCATGAAACTATTCGCAGCAGTGCTGCAAACCTACAAGTTTGAAACTCGAATTGCAAAACCAAAGCCAGCTGGAAGTTCAAGGATCAGAGCCAGGCATGTTTAACCTTTGGGCATTCTGGAAGCTTTGAAGACGTGTGCCTTTTCCTCGGATAGATGGGGTCAACCCTCGGAGGTTCTCCTAGCTGAGGTGTTCAGAGAACACCTCGGGCTGGGCAATTCATTCTATTTCATGGAACTTGTGACCCAAAAGCGCTCTCAAAGCACTGGCGTATGTTTTTTCTTCGGATTATGAGAGGGTCTACAGATTGCTTCTCTGAGGTGTTGTTAGAACACCTCGGCTAATTAGGGACGGATGGTGGAGAGACATCGTCTAGCTGAGGCAAAAGGCTCACGACGCTTGACTTCGTGGCAGGGTGAAGCGGCATTTGAAGTTAACGGGTTTGCACCCTTCCACCTTTCTGATCCCAAAGGGGCGGTTGAGCACCTTCCATTTTGAAGCATGTGAGCGACTCTAAATACCCCACGAATCCCTCCCTTGTGAAAGGCTGCTTACACGCGAACTAGCTCACTGTTTACGCAATTCATGTTTTGGCTTACGCCACAGTCAGCGAGCATGTCAATGTCAATCTTGCACGCTGCTTACACGCAGGCGTTTTGGGTGTTTCCCCTCGAGAATTGCTTACGCAGGCTCCGTTTTCTACGCAGCCGCCACTGCTCAAGATAACCTGGATGAAGAATTGCTCTCAAGCGGATCAACTTGGCGCTGTTGTTCTTTTCGGGGTCTTCGCTCCCTCTTGCTCAGCGTCGATTTGGCCCACAACTTAGCAGCTTTTGCGGCATGGCGGGCGGGCAGCCGTGCCAGGCGAGCTTACGCAAACCTCACGCGCAAACCTCGCGCGCCTGGAAACTCCTGAATTTGTTGCATCTGCCGTGCGGCAACCCTTGTGGTTAGGACATTCGACGGCTAAGGCCCTGGCATTCAAAACCGTTCCAAGTCACGATGCAGAGCTTACGCGGGTGCGTACGCAGCATCTTTCCGCAAAACGTGCGTACGCCAGCGTACGCCATGCAGGGTTTTGCTTGCGCAAGGCCTTTCATGACACAGCTCTTGCTTCGCATGTAAGGTTTGTTTTAGCGCTGTTCATGTGAGAATCGTCCGAACCCCTTGTTGGGCACCTGCAATATGCCCAGCTTGATGCATGAACTCATCACTTTCATGAAAGCCTTGGTTCCCTACTTCACAGTTGATGCTTGGAGCTGCAAACTTCACAGTTCTGCTTTCCGCCCAACGCCCCCAGCTTTGGCTGAGCATCGACTGCTTCTGATTGGACTTTTTGTCCTGAAACCAGCATGTGCCAGCTGGCCACGAAGAGCTCTTTGGCATCCAGAGACCTATCCTTGGCGTGCCAAATAAATGCGTGCGTGCTTGCGTCTACATGCGGTGCGGCTCGTCTTTTTTGGAGCTGGTACCCTTGGCTTGAAAGGGAAACCAACAGGAAACCCGAAGCCAGCTTGGGGGTTCCAAATCCTGAAAAGACGAGCCGCCCACTTCATTGCTATATGGTTGGCAAACAGCGCACATGGATTTCAAGCGTCGTTGCCCCTCGCGCCAGGCCCAGGCACAAGGTCGTCAACACAGGAACCTTGGTTCCCGTTTCGCGATTTCTTGACCTTGCGTGCCAATAAAAAATGCTTTCCTTGGTTGACTGGTAAACGCTCGTGGAACGTGAAGGAAATCCCAACTTTTGACACAGCCGCACGTGCAATACGGCCAAATTCAACCTCAACATTGATTTCGCATGTGAAGACGGACAAAATGGTCACTACGATGTTCGAAGGGCCATGTCCACCTCAAACTCATACCCATCATGGCGCATGCGCATGCCCACTGCTCACATTCCAATCCGCGAAACGCCGTGGCCCCACTTGTCGGCGGGAGCAGAGCCAGGCGTGGAGCAATCTACCCAGGAGCCCAGCACTTTTTGAGTCAGCCCAGCGTCCAGGAAGACGCCACCTGAGTGCCCGAAACCCTTTGACTGGGAGGTACGGTAGGTTTATATAGGCCATGCCAGGTAGAGCCACTACACATGGCTCATGGGACTGGTTGAGAATGTGCCAGCATGGAGTTTTCTTAGTTTTCGCTTGGAGTGACTGGGCCCGATATGTGGCAGTAGCTAAAGCGTCTCGGGAAGCAGCGGGATATTCCGTCAATAAACATATATCATATGTGCTCCCCTTTGGCAACGTCCCAAAGCCACACGGCAAATTGCCCTTGAGACTAGACTGCCTTGGCTGATGCAAACTTGACCGCCTCACTTCACTAGTCTTCCGTTGCACAGGGCAACGAGTCAGCATGAGTAGAGATGCAAGCCTCCACGCCGTTCCTTTATGCACCATGCATACCCTGCCAAGCATCTGAGATCGGCAGCAGCTCCCCGGCAAAAGATGACGCCGTCAGAAAATTCGCGGTTGATAAAGTGAAGCAGCAACGGTGGGCTGGTGGCGCTCGCCTGTCTCCAGCGAGGTCAAAAGTTCATTACATTCTAGAACTCCCTCAAATTTGAACTGTCAGAGCGTGCAAAGGTAGGGGCCCGCGGATTTTTTGCAATGTTTTCAACTGCCATCGGCATAAGTCTGGCAGCCCAAGCACTTTGGTCTGAATCATCGCGATGGACTCACAGGCATCACCTGATAGCCATGCTCGAGAAACAGTTGTGTATGCGTCAGCCGTGGCCATCGTCACTTATGCCTCTAAGACGCCATATGGGCCGCATGTGCTGTTGACTCCGCTCGACTGGATGCAGGTAAGCCAAGTGATCAAGAGAAATATTCGATGCCTTGGTCATGGGATCGGCATGAAGCAGTGTCTCACCATATTGACTAAGTCATGACTCCAGCAATTCCAGCACCAGTCCGTTTCATGTCCTAAGGTTTCTTCATTTTCTTCTTCAGCATTTGCACATCTGCGTCACAAGATGCGAAGATCGGCAGGCCATGATCTTCCAGCACCTTCAACAACCACAAAATAACCAAAGCGCAAAGTGGTTGACCAAAAAAGCCGCAGCATTGCTGTAAAATCCCCAGGAGACGAACAAAGCCCCCAAAGAGAAGCTTCTTTTTCGGAGCCCGCACTTTCCTTCGAAAGTGAAGGAAACACTCAACCTTGTGCCTTACAGGTGCCATCAAAGGCACCTGGCAAACACAAAATGCAGCAAGCTCAGCCCCGATGCCCCTGGTTTCCTCGTATTTTGTGGAGACGATCTGGAGGATTTAGGGGAAGGAGGCCATGTTCCCAGGGATTCAGAAGCTTCCCTCCCTGCCTTCACAATGGCTGCTGTTCGTCGATCTAACTTGCAGCAAAGGACCCTGCGGCCCCGTGGAATTCTAGAACGTGTGCGGCAAAAGCATCGCTTGAGCCATGGTGCTCGACGTGAGCCGGTGCGCAACTCTGTAAACGGCAAGATTCAAGCCCAAACTTCAACCAGAATCAGAATCTAAATGTGGGCTCAAACAACCCATCTGCTTTGCAGCGAGTTTAAGTGTCGCACTTTTCTTGATCTGGGAATGCGCTTCTTGTTTGGTGAGCGATTGGAACAAGTTTGAAAGCTAATCCAAAGTACGGCAACTGGGAGGAATTCTTGATTTGTTGACACCGCCACATTTCTGGGCGGCTCACGTCTGCTTTCGTAGCACACAACACAAGACGTGAAAGCAAAGCCATGATTCCTGCAAAAAAAACATTGCGCATTCAACTCTCGCACCTTTCTTCAATTCCAGTGGTGAGCCTTCGCGAATCTCCACACGCAGACTAATTGGCTGAAGCATGATTGCAAGAAAACTCTGGCACTCTCCCAGTTAAACAAAAAAACATCTGCAATTGATTGATTCATTTATTGATTGGTTGGTTGATTGTTTCTGCCTGCCTGCTGTAATTTGTACAGGCTGCCAGGTGCAGCGAAATCATGGTACCTGCATTGCCAGCACCTGGCAGCAACAAGCCATCAGCTGTCATGCTTCCCAAGAATCAACCACATGTCACGACGCCGTGCGTAAAGCATTCGAGCCAAATAGTGTTCACATGGGTGCCAAGAGCCGCAAACAGTTGCCTTTCTCAGCTTTTACTATGAACAGCTGTTGGCCCACTTCGATGCTTGTTGCAAAACAGGACGGGCCAGCCTCAACACCAGCATGGCTGACTCAATGGCTCCGGGGCCACAGCAGCACCTGCATGGAACCGAGAAGCAACGACCCCTCGTCAAAGAGCTTGCCTATTGACTCAAGCGCTCCTGTGGCGACTGGAGCATGACCCTTCACCAAAACTCTTATGATGGCCATCCTCAAATCCAAATCGAAGGGTTGATGTCCATCCATGCAGATCTGTACATGACATGCTTTTAGAGGCCTTGGCAGCGTGGAAGCTCCGCAAGCACGTGGTGTGCTTGCTGGCCTTGTCACCGAGCGCTTGACTCATCCAACGCAAAAAGGAGGCCCGCGACTCCCAAAGTGGCTGCATTGTCTCATCCCCTCTGGCCCTCCTGGCTTTGATGCAAGGCGGCCAGCCTACGTGCTCCAGCTGATGCTGCAGTGTCTGATTCTGTTCCAGCTGTTCTCGATATTTCTCCTGGAAGCTGCGAGGCAACTCAAACCGATCCATCACGCACTGTGCCTGCAGAATCTCTTCAGACCAAATTACATGCCTTCCCTTGGCTGCTGTCCTGCGCACAGGAGACATCTGCCTGACAGGACATGGCTGCAGCAAATGCTTGGAATATTATGTCCATATTTAGTGTGCCTGCAAGTTTCCGGCTGGCATGGGGACAGCCGCCCATCCCGTTCCCTTTTCGACTAACAAATGAGCAGCGAACCCCAAACCCAAAACCCATTGAATTTTGGCTCTACCAACATGGTTGAATAGGTTTATGCCTTGCTATAAATCGTTGAACATTGTAACAGAGAAGACACCTTCACCATGGGACCAGGAGGTAGAACCATTTGCTCAAATGGCCTATGGGCTGTTTCGGCGCCACTCAAATCGTGGTACGCATTGTGGGCATAAAAGAAGCTCCCACGCAAGCTGATACTCCGCCTGCATCTTCTGGAGCACTGTGAGGGCATCTGCCTTCCACCTCGCAATTGCAGCCATAAAAAACTCGGCGTGTCTCCAATGTTGGAGCCACTTCTCTGCCTGACATTTGAAGGGACAAGGAGGCGATTTTGAGAGAAACACCGATTTCGGAAAAAGCATTGTTTGACGTGCCACAGGTCCCCAGCTGAAGCGTTCTTCTCCGAAGCGTGGATTCCTTTTGAAACATGGATACTAGTTTCTCAAATAGATTCCAAAGCGAGGATGGCTTCTGACACGTACTCTCTTTTGCCCGGATAGTTTCTGAAATGTAGTTCCGAAGCGAGGGTAGCTTCTGAAACGTACTCTCTGAAGCAGGGATGGTTGCTGAAATGCAGTTTCCGAAGCGGAAATAGTTCTGAAACAGACTTTGTTCTTTCAGATCCTGGGCTTGGAGGCAATTGTCCTCTCGTGTCCTCACGCCTGGTTCCTTTGCTTCCCCTCGACAGGGCCACCTTTTCTTCTGGTTTTCCAAACGCCTCTGCAGGAGATCGAGCTCGCGGTGCATGCGCAAGGCACTGGAAGACCAGGTCTCTTGCCTGAGAACCAGAAAATTGCAGGAGCACGTCCGCACATGCAGTTGACGATGACGATGACGACGACGATGATGACGATGCTGACAATGATGATGACGGTGCTGGTGCTGGAGGCTGGATGCTGGCTGCTGGACGCTGGATGATGATGACGACCTGATGGTGGATGCTCATGCTGGATGCTGGATGCTGGATGATGATAAGGATGATATCGACGACGATGACGCCGAGGATGCTGATGGTGGTGGTGGATGCTGAATGCTGGATGCTGGATGCTGGAAGCTGGATGATGATGGCGATGACGGTGCCTGGTGCCAGTGCTGGATGATGATGATGAGGATGAGGATGATGATGATGATGCAGATGGTGGTGCTGGATGGCGGATGCTGGATGCTGATGATGCTGGTGCTGGTGCTGGATGCTGGATGCTGGACGCTGGATGCTGGATGCTGATGATGCTGACACTGGTGCTGGATGCTGGATGCTGGATGATGATGAGGAGGATGACGATGATGATGATGGTGCTGGTGGGATGCTATATGATCATGACGACGACGACCACGACGAGGAGAAAGACAATGCTGATGGTAGTGCTGGACGCTGGATGCTGATTATGCTGATGCTGGTGCTGGATGCTGGTGCTGGATGCTAGATGATGGATAATGATGACGATGCTGGATAGTGGATGCTGGATGTTGGTTGATGATGATGATGATGATGATGATGATGATGATAATGATGATGATGATGACAATGACAATGACAATGACGATGACGATGACGATGATGATGATGACGATGCTGACGATGATGATGATAATGAGGATGAGAATGAGGATGACGATGACGATGAGGGTGCCGGTGCTGTTTCTGGAGGCTGGATGCTGAATGATGATGATGATGACGATAATGATGCTGGATGCTGGATGCTGATGTTGATGATGCTGGTGCTGGATGCTGATGATGCTGGTGCTGGATGCTGATGATGATGCTGGGTGCTGACGCTGATGCTGATGAGGATGCTGGATGCTGATGCTGTTGGCGATGATCATGTGGAGCAAACAAAACGTCAAATATGATGGACTATGAGTAATATACATATATATATATATATACATATGCATACATAATATATTGACTTGACCTGCGTCAAACTTGGGAACCCGTCCAACGTTTGGTTTCCTCTTTGCTTTGATTTAAGGAATAGCCAAAAGCAGCTTGGTGGGCAAGTTACAACCAAAGGCATGGCAGCGTGAGGCTCTGGCAGATCACTCTCTGACCACGGTGAGGCAACTTTGGCTGGGTTGGCTTTAGGCACCTGGCACAAGCTCACCGGCGAAGCCGTGATGCTTAATGACAATCACAAATTCCTGCGGGAAGAGGACTTGCTTACGCCAACGCTTGCGTGTACCGAACGGTGCAAATGCCACAAGCAGCTTGTGCGAGAATAATATGCGGAAGGGGAAAGCCTGCTGGCACGGTACATGGGCACTGCTGGGTCTTGCAGTACACTTCGTCGATGGGTATGAAACTGGTGTTTGGGCCGCGCAGTGCATAGTTGATGCAAACACTTTACCAGCTAAGCATCTTCTTTCGGTCTACGTAGGTACAAATGCACCACCATTGATGTCGAGCTAGAGCATATGTGCCGCTTATGCGCGGCTTAAACTCCAAAGAACAGCCAGGATTGCTGGGACTTCCCTGTTGTGCATGTCCAATAGTTAGTCTGAAGAAATGCTTACGCTCGCTTCTGCGGCTGTACGCTCGGCTTAGACAAGAAGAAGGGGCCATCGGTGCTGCTCATCACATCTCCCTGGGCCAAGGCACGCTGCGTGAGCGGCGAGCCTCAAGCGCGGGACAAAAAATCTGGCAGGCTTGGCAAGCTGAAAGGCAAGACACGGGTGTGTCATTTTTCGAGGCAAGCCCACCCATGTGTTTGATGGTGGTTCCCCATTTTTTAAGCCCGTGATGGAGAATGTTCCTTGAGCCCCCTCCCCCCCTCCCCTGTTTGAGACAACCCCCGCCCCTCATTGCAACACAAACCCACAGACTCGCCGATCATGTTCTTTCACCCTGGGGCCCGGCAGGCTTTGAGCGCAGCACGCCTAGCAAGCATCTGATCCCCTGAAACATTGGTAGCCCAAACCACCGGGGAAACTGGATACAAACCGCCAGATTCTATACTCTCCACTATGTACCCCCTGGCGCATCGTAAGAACCTGAGTCCAAAGGTGCAACAGTTGCATCTCCATGTGCACCAAAAGGCAAACACAAAGCTGCCTGCAGCGGATGCAGCCTCTCGAGCAGCAGTCAGCTCTCTTGCCTCGACACATGGAGATGCCTCCCCAGTTGCTTTTGCTGCTTGTGCCAATCACGTGAGAGGAAGCTAAACATGAATGCTTCCCGTTGAACCGCATGATGAGTCAAACGAGATCACCTGGTGAGCCTGATGCCGAGCTCAGCCACAAAGGCTCTGGCAAGCTGCAGCCCCTGTCGTCGCTCCTCCCCCAACTGCCGCAGCAGGGATCCGAGCTTTTGCTCAGCCTGGACATCTCAATGTCGAGGTTCTGAGACGAGAGTGTCATGATATCCAGCTCCAAAGACAAACGCTCTCCCAACGCTTCATGCTTAATGACCTCGGCTAGTCCCTGCGGACCCAGAACCAAGTGAATCTGAATCTGAGCATTTTGCGGCCTTGGCTAGACACTCCATGATAGTAAGGATAGGTCTGCGTTTTGAAGTAGCATGTTTATCTTGAAGGGACACCAAAAGGAAAGCAATAAGCTTCCCCCTATTGACAGGTACCCATTGAAACCTTCTGCGTGCATGTGCTTTGGATGCTTCGGCCTCTGCGACCTCTTCACGAGCTCGCCGGCAGCGCTGCGCCGCTGCTGCGCGAGCTTGGCTGAAGGCATCCTAGGTTCTCGAAATGGGGCCCTTTTTGGATTCCGCAGAGAAACCAAAGAAAGAATCAACTCATTTGTATCCTGGGGGCTTACTTTTGCAAAAAGGTGGATGTGTGGGCGTGTGGGTGGGTGGGTGCGTGGGTGTGTGTCTGTACGTGTGTGTGTGTGTGTGTCTAGGTGTGTGGGTGTGTGACTGAAACATCTTCGACATGCCAACCTTGAATGGAGTACCCTGGTGACCCTTGCAACTTCACCAACACGAGGATGCGATCCACCGCAACTGAAAGCAGTCGTGTACGATCGGGTTGAGGTGCCCTGTAACCCCCAAGTCTGCGCGCAAGCCATGAGCCGTCCTCCTGCGTCCTCTCCGTGTCCCTTAGCCGCATTTTATTTGCGCTCTGTCCCGAAGCAAAACATGAGAAGCTCTTAGTGTGGGCCCTTGCCACGGCCCTTGCCACAAGCTCAACAAGACCAACTCCGACTCGGGTCATCGAGATCTTTTGCACTCGGCTCCTGGCCTTTCTTGCGCCTTCTGCAGCTCCTGTGGCTTGGACCATTGGAGATAACGCATGAAGAAAGCTGAGACAATCATCGGAAAGGGGAAGGACATGAAAGAACATCTCTTCCCCATCGCTGTCTTCAGGAAAACAAACTGAATTGCTGACCTCGCTCAGCCCTCTCGTGCCGTGCCGCGCTGCCCGTCCTCAAGCGAAGCTTTCGCCTGCGCATGTCTACGGGAGATTTCTTCCGCCTGAGCCATGAGTTCAGTTCGACCACTCCCCTCCCGCGCCGTACGCTGCTTGGACCTCTCAGGCTGGCCTCGAAAGAGAGCTGCGCAGCTGCGGACTCCAGGCGCTGCACCTGAAGCCGGAAAAGCCGTTCTAATCGCGAGATGTCATCAGAATGTGCCTTATGTTCTTCAACTTATGGTCCCTTGCGTCTTCCCTTTCTAGTAGTTTGCAGATTGAATAACTTGGCATTCTCGCATTATCAACTAATGATTCACTTTATGGTTGTCATTTCTTGTTTGTTAGTTTCTTGCATTTGTTTCATCTATCTATTGGTCTTCTTCTCAAAATATCTTTGCGGTGCTTGTCTACTTTGCCATTCAAGGTTGAAAGGGTCTTCTTCTCAAAATATCTTTGCGGTGCTTGTCTATTTTGACACCTTTGCTTCCTGGTGCTTTCATGTGCTTTCCTGTACTGCATCGCGATAGTGGTGGGCCTGTCAATCATGAGAATTCAGGAAATGGTGCACCCCAGCTGCACCTCCTCTCGCTGCTTCGCACTAGCCTGAGACAGAATAACGTCTCATCTAAGTGGCTTTTCTGATTGACGGCCGGCATCTCCTGCCTGCTGCTCTTGTGCGGCAAGCTGATCTCTGGCAGCCTCCAGGACCTGCCATTGATTCGTGACCCAGCTCCGGCAAGGGATGGTGGGACTCATAGTCCCCTGACTCATTCCCTTCATATAGTACAAAGTCGCCGCACCTCAAGCTGTGCACGAAGGCCAAGACTCTGGGCACGAGCGTCTGCCACTTCCTTAGTGAGGTGAACAAACATTGGCATTGGCTGCCACGCCGCTTCCGGGCTGCCCCGCCGCTTCCGCGGCTGCAAGGGCTGCAGAGGAGTCGTTGAGCGAGGCCTCCAAGGTGCGACCTCACTTTGCAACCGACGGGCGCTTCCCCAAGCCCAATCTCTCGATCTCCCGACAAGTCTCTTAGCCAAGCGACGGCGATTGCTCAACGACTCCAACTCGGCTGCAAATTCCTCAGCAACGTTCTCAGTCAAGAGCACACAAGAGCCTTGGAGGCTTTTCATTCCCCTCAAAACCTCAAGCAGTTTTCCTCCCTTTTTCCTCAAACGTTTTTTTCTTCACACATCTTTCCGCCTTTCCCCCGGCGAGCTCTCCGCGCCTGAGGCCGCGGCCACCTCCCCGGCCCTCAGCTTCGCCTGGCACTCCGAGAGCTCCGCCTCCGCGGCGCGGCAGCCTGGCGACTTCTCCGCCTTTTTGTTTTGTTTTCTCCGGCGGAGAAAGGCGTCCGGAGAAAAAAGGCGGCGACTTAAACATGGCTGCGGGTCAAAAATAGGTACCGAAAAAAGAAGAAAAAAAGGAAAAACACACAGCGACAAGTGGCTGCGGGTCAAAAATAGGTACCCAGATTGGAATCCTGGCAAATGGAAACATAGACTAAAACCTGGCCATATCCTGGTGGTTTAAGTTTGAGCCATACCCAAATCTAGGGGACACTTCCATTTCCATTCTTTCCAGGGATCCTTCTTTCCAGAAAATCATCGGAACCCCAGGAGAATCAGCTGGTTTTTGAAAGGAACGATGGTTGAAAAGAATGGGGAATGAACCCCTAGAACAAATGGAAACACCCGGAGCCCAAACAAAACATCCCCCCAAATGGCGGAAGATCCCCACAAAATGGCGGTTGTCCTGGTTTTTGTTGGTGTACTTTGCTGCTGGTGTATTCTTGTTGGCGTCCCTTTTGGTTTCCCTTTAACCACCAGGGAATATCTGCACATCGCCCTTTTTGGGAAACCCGGGTAAAAAGAACACACACACACACAAAAAGAAAGAAAGAAAGAAACCTCAAAAAAACGCTTACCATCCAAAAACGCTTCCCTCGAATGGGTGGTTTGGGGGGTGGTTTGGTGGTGGGGCAGTTTCCAAATTTACGTTCTACTACAAGGGGGGACCTGACAGAATGTGTCAAGGGATCCGAAAGATCAACTGCAAGATTTGCTACAACACAACATAGCGAAAGATCATTTAAACACAGCCATGCCAGAGGCGCTACCCAATATGCAAGATCAGGTCATGCAATTCTTACACGGAATGCGTTGTCATGAGTATCAGCACTGTGAGAATGTGCCTGGAGTGCTCACTGCGCCTGTAGCAATGTGTTGGTTGCATCCACACTATGCCAGTCAAACGCGGCCGTCAGCATGACTGCTGCAGCTTCTGCTGGATGATTGCCATTGCTCCTGCTTTTGTACGCATTACTGGCGCATACTCGCAGTACTACATGTTCAAAATGTCACCTTTGTCAGGACTGTGAGCACTGACATGGCTTGTTTCCTGCTGAATGTTCTGTTGGGTTCAATCTTCGATGGACATAATGAGTCAAGCCGAGTAAGTGCTGTAGTAACAAAGGCTTGTTAACAGTACCTCATCAAACTGCAAACATGCGAGGCCAGCGACGTGTCAAGCATGCTTCAAGCCAGCTGCTCAGCCAATCCCGCACTCGCTCTCATGCCTACATGGCATGGGATGCGTCCGAAGCCGAAAAGGATGAGCCAAGCCCAATCTGCGATCCCATGACTTCCAGCCTTGCTGCTCAGCTGCGATGCCTCACTGCAAAGGCTTTTGCTACGGAGCCCCTCCCGTATCGGGGAACGAAAAAGCCCCGCGTCCTGGTACCAAAGATCCATCATTTTGTGAGTACTGCCCGCATTCGCATGACAAAGCAAGGCCAAGGGAGACGGTCAACATCCTAAGGATTCGTAAACAACATGAGAGGAGTGGGTTTGCTGAGGATTGGCTAGGCTCGGAAAGGTTTGGGAAAAGGTTGAGATCGAGGGAGGCCTGGATTGGGGATTGGGGGCCTAGGGCTTGGGAAGGATCCGAGCTAATTGAGGAAAGATTTGAAGAGACGTGTGGAGGCTGAGGATTGGGGGCATCCTTGGGAAACTTCGGTTCTGAGTCAGCACGGTTGAGTTGTGCAGGCTACGGTAGTAAAACATGCTACCCTCATCCAAATTTTACAAACACAACACTTTAAACTTAAGAAATACTAGCACTGTCATGACTGATAAGCAAGAGCCTTTTTGGGGTTGTGCAAAATTACATCTCCTGAGCACGACAACTTCCCTTCCGCCCCCATTCCGTAAACCTTCCGCTCCCAACGGACATCTCAAGAGCACGCTGTTGCCCGCTTGCTGGGACCTGGAGGCGCTCTGGAGCTGGGAGTTCTTTGGTCGCGGGGAGATAAAAAAAAAAAAAAAAAAACGCTCCGCGCGCCGCGCGCCAAACCCCGCGGGATCTGGACGACTTCAAGGCTGATCACGATGTTCTGAAAACCAGCGAAGCGCATCACGCTTGGCGAAGTGGACGTGTGAAGCACCGGGGGAAGACAGGAAGCAACAAAACAAAACACGATCACACGTGCACAGGTACGTGGATCCGGCCCTCCGGATCCATCTTTTGGATTTCTACAGCGCCTTGGTTGGATGCTGGCTGCAGGCAAATCGCTGCATCCCCTGCGTTTTCGTGGTGGCCAAACACGTTGGACGCGCACACACGCCTGAGCAAAGAACGCACGTGAAGTTTAGTGACAAGTTAAGGACAAAGGCCCCCAGTTGCAAATACCAAAATGAGTTTTCTCCAAAGGAGTGGAAAGGTTCTTCAAGGCACCTGCATAATTTCCAGTTTCAAATGAAACATCAATCGAGTTGAGAAAACTGCGAGGTCTAAATGCAACAAATAAGACAGATGCCTTACCAGTCTTTCAACCGACCCCCCCAGGCTTAAAAAAACAAGCGACCCAACAACAAGCAAGCGCACGAGCCGAAGTTTAGGAGACTCCTTGGGGAAAGGTCAAAGCAAAAGAAAGGGCAACTGGTAGTTTGCTGAAACAAGCAAGCACACGTGACAAAGGATTAGGCAACTCCGCTGGACAAGGCCGAAACGAAATGTGAGGCAACCCAGCTATACAGAGACTCTGGGGGCAAAAGCCCAAAGCAAGGAAACCCTTGGCTGAGGTTGCTAACCCATTTATTGGTTGTCATGTGCCCATCTGGGCCAACGCTTGAGATCAAAGCGATAGCCCGAGCCCTTCCGCATCGCTTCCGCCGCCCTTCCGTGCAGACGCTGGAAAGCTCACGCAGTGTTAGCCTGGAATTTTGGAACACTAAATGGAATACATGGGTGTTAGCACGACGCCCGTGCTTGCCGATGGCAGATCCGTGCCTCTTGAGGCGATTCATGAATTCAACCATTGAAGTCAAGGTGCGATGTCGGGTCGCGGTGAGTTCCTTTCTGATGGCCTCGGCGGGGAAGCTGCCGGCATAGGTGACGAATCCATGCACAAAATGCAGTAGCGGAAAGAAGTATCTGAGGCTTTTACATCATTCGCTGCGGCCAGCGCATCGAACTCTACACGGACTTCGGCCTGATCAAATAAGGATATGGAACAGGATGCAGCTTGTTGGCATGACTAAGGCTCACACATATTCGCGCTCGCTTATCCGCACCCGCTCGCTCCTGACATCGGTGCCAAGTTCAAGGACGTAAGGGTACATCCAATTCAAGCAGGAGATCCCTCAATCCCAGCAACTCCCATTGTCAAAGGTCCTGGTTACCAGGGCGAGATCTAGCTCAGCCAACTTGTCCTGTGCCTGAAACACAGCTCACAAAAACACAATTCGTGCCACAAAGTTGTCGGATTGGGGTGGACTTCTGCGAATCAGAAAGCATCCATAGGCTCTCAGCGAAAGAACTAACGATCTCCAAAACAACCAGTCATCCTACACGACACCCTTTGGTCCTTCGACGACATGCACCACACATGGAGCCGACCCTAAAGCTGCAGGCACCTCCCGAAGCTGCTGCCGAAGAAGCTCTGCATCATCTCAGACGCTTGCATCTCCCGTTTTTCTCATGGAAAACAAAGAAAAATATCTTCCCTCAAGGCAGAACAATCGGGCGAGGCTGAGAACATGTGAGAGATCCATGGATGTGCCCACGCGCCAGCAGCTGCAAATACATCAACCAGCCATGTTCGAGCAATTTCGACTGCCATAAACTGAGATCACCTGTCCCGCTTTTGGGTCAGCAACCTGCCATCTCAGCTTTATTGTCAGAGTATTTGTGTCACATGCTTGGCCCCCAACTGGCAGACTGCTCTCTGGCTGCAACCGAGGCAGAGATGAGCTTTCGCTGGCGCTCCTGATTCGACGGCATCTCACCATCCATCAACAATCTGTGTGCAAGCTTCACTGGTGCAGTTGTCAGCATCTCTCTATCGAAAAATGCAGTTGATCCGAAATTGCAAGCGTGGCGCCTCCTCAAACAATAGGAAAACAACAAATGCCGGATCAGGCAGGCAAACAAGTTGCAGCAAATTAAACCGGCGCGGCCATCTCTCGTCGACCGCTCAGGGTTTGAGCCGGTAATTGTTTCAGCTGGAACTACTTGGCACGTTTAGCAATTGTTTGGTGCTGGCCAGCAAGTATGTGTTCCGCGGCGATAGCGCCGAATACGCCCTGAATTGATGGATGGCTTCACAATGCATGACAACTGGCCGACAGCTGAAAGCTGTGACTCAAGGGAGACGAATGTCCTCCAACAATCTACAATGGACAAAGGCATGACATTGTCGATGCACAGCTCCACTAGGCTAGCGCTTTCCTAACCTATGCTTGTCTAATCCTGGCACAAGCTTCCTCAAAGCAAAACCAAAGCTAGACAGACTGTGGATGGACGAAATCCTCCACCACCTAAGAAATCCTGGAATGATGATTTCCCGTGTAGATACCAACGAACAATGGTTTCCCATGGTTTCAAAGTGGTGCAGGATTTTGTCCATCCACAGTATGAGACGTATCGAAACGTACGTATGACCACTGTATAACTACAAATGCTCAAAACTCACTTTTTTGCCAATCTCCCACCGGTATCTACTGGATTTGGTCTGGCCCTCAAGGAAAATCTAGAGACATCTGGAGACAAACCACCTTCAAAGGGCTTCCTATCCAAGAAATCCGACGCAAGTCGAGCGTGTAGATGGCAATCCGCAACTTGCTCTTTCGGCATTTCCTTTAAAGCCGAAGGGCCATTTTTGGGCACAATTTGCCGTTGGGTCTTCGAAGTCCTACACCGCGCGTGTTGTCTGGGGGGGGGGTGGCCTACGGTGGTAAGAATCTGCATTCCCAGCAATATCAGGGCTGTCTTGGCGGCATGACTTTTGTTGTTGTGCTTGCTGATATCAATGGTGGTTTAACTGCTTTGAGCAATGTTGGATTTGGCATGTTTGGGGTCTTGGGGGGGGGGGAAGTGCAAGTGACGATCGCATCGATGCGAAACATCCCCAGCATTATTGTGTGTT